CTGGAGCTCGCTCTTTTTGGGGCACCTCTTAAATAAGAAATATCAAATGCCTTCCGAGTGAGATGCCTGGGATCGTCTCACAGCTTTGTGCTGATTGTGGGCGGCTCGGGGGGTGTGAAATGTCCTTTCCCAGCCCTCGGAGCTCTCCAGGTTGGCTCCACTGTTACTTGTAGCTTTTTTGTTGCCCCTTGTTTCTCTTCAGAGAGTTCAGCTCTCGCTGCAAACCGAGCTGTGCCCCTGAGGCTGGGCCGGGCCTGGGAACAATCGGGACTTTGTGGAGGGCCCTGACATTTATCAGTGAGCCCCAGGCTGGGCTCTGAGCCTGCTTTAACTTTAACTGCTCGGCTCCAAAGCCGGGCAGAGCGGCGTGGAAACTCGAACGAGGGAGATGAGCAGGGTGCGAGTGACTCAGCTCTGCAGCTTCTGGGCGATTTCTGGAGCGGCTTTCAAGTCCTGCTGCACTCGTTAATGGGCTCTTGCTGCTGGGTTTGATATTTGCTGGGAGAACGTTTAGGCTGAGCTCTTGATCAGGCAGGGCCTTGTTTTCAAAGCCCAGCTTAGACAGCTCAGCCTCCTGACTTTTAGGAAGGACTTATTGATGTTGCAAACAAATCGCTGCAAGTAAGTTTTGATTTCACTTGAATGTAGTTCCGTGCCTTAAACAGGATTGTAGCTCAAGTTTTAATTCTTTTTAGTCAAGAGCCTTTTGCTTTTGACTTCAAACGCTTTAAACAACTTTGACTTCAAACACTTTTAGCAACTTTCAACTTTAAAAACTTCAGAGATGGGTGGGGAAGGTGTTGTTTTTTAAAGAATAATCCCAGTCTCAGAGCAGCACTGACAGGGAAGAGCATGAAGCACTTTCCTGGGAGACCCTGGCAGTGTCCAGCGATTCCCGGTGTTCCCAGGGTGATTTTCCCATCCATAGCTTTGGCAGCTTTGCCTCAGGCCTGTGTCCCCCTTTGTGCAGGTGACAATTGTCACCATTTCCTGACGTGTCACTGTCACTCGAGGCTTCTTTGAGGCTTTCTTGTTCCTGCTGGGGCAGATTCGTATCCACACTTACTGATGTTGCAAACAAATTGCTGCAAGTAATTTTTGATTTCACTTGAATGTAATTCCGTGCCTTAAACAGGATTGTAGCTCAAGTTTTAATTTTTTATTTTATTATTTTTTTAGCAGAGCCTTTTGCTTTTAACTTCAAACACTTTAAACAACTTCGACTTCAAACACTTTTAGCAACTTTCAACTTTTTGGGTATGGAATGCAAATACCATTCAAACATGGTATTAAGAGATGGGTGGGGAAGGTGTTGTTTTTTAAAGAATAATCCCAGTCTCAGAGCAGCACTGACAGAGAAGAGCATGAAGCACTTTCCTGGGAGACCCTGGCAGTGTCCAGCGATTCCCAGTATTCCCAGTATTCCCAGTGTTCCCAGTGTTCCCAGGGTGATTTTCCCATCCATTCCCAGTCAGGCACTGGCCCAGCTTTGGCAGCTTTGCCTCAGGCCTGTGTCCCCCTTTGTGCAGGTGACAATTGTCACCATTTCCTGACGTGTCACTGTCACTCGAGGCTCCTTTGAGGCTTTCTTGTTCCTGCTGGGGCAGATCCGTATCTGCAGAGGAAACGAGTGAGTCAGCCCCGAACTGGGAGGGACTGGGAGGGACTGGGAGGGAGCTGCAGCCGCCCGCGGGGGTGGACAGGGTGGAACAGTGAAGATTTTTTGACCTCACCCCTCTCCAGGCACGTGTCAGTCTGAGCAAGCTTCCTTCAGCCAGGAGTTCATCCAGAACCATTTAATTCCAGTTTTGTTTTTTTTTTTTTCTCCTTGAGAGGATATTTTAGAATTAAATTTTTTTTTTTTTTGCTTCTTGGCTGATTTGTGGTTTAGGTTTGAAGGCTCCTTTTGGAGACATCTCTGGTTTGTTTCACATAGAAAATGTTGCAGGTGAAATATTTTGGCAGTGTGTAGGGATGGAGAGGGGAATTTTCAGGAAGGGGAAGTAAAACCTGGCATGGGCAGAGTGGCAGGAAAAGCCAAAATCCTGAGGCAGGATGGAAATCTGATGGGATCCGTTTGTGGTGCTGATTTCACTGTGGAAATTCCAGAGATTCCAGGGAAAAGGGAGATCCAGCAGCTCATGGATTCAACGGGGATCCTCCCTCAGGGGAACAGAATGGTTTGGGATTGCCTGAGGCCCTTAGGGGAACAGAATGGTTTGGGATTGCCTGAGGCCCTTAGGGGAACAGAATGGTTTGGGGTTGCTCATTCTTCCTTAGAGGAACAAAATTATTTGGGATTTCTCATTCTCCCTCAAAGGAACAGAATGGTTTGGGGTTTCTCATCCTCCCTTAGAGGAACAGAATAATTTGGGATTGCCCATCCTCCCTTAGGGGAACAGAATGGTTTGGGATTGCCTGAGGCCCTTAGGGGAACAGAATGGTTTGGGATTTCTCATTCTCTCTCAGAGGAACAGAATGGTTTGGGATTGCCTGAGGCCCTCAGAGGAACAGAATGGTTTGGGATTGCCCATTCTGCCTTAGAGGAACAGAATGATTTGGGATTTCTCATTCTCCCTTACAGGAACAGACTGGTTTGGGGTTGCCCATCCTCCCTTAGGGGAAAAGAATGATTTGGAATTGCCTGAGGCCCTCAGAGGAACAAAATTATTTGGGATTGCCCATTCTCCCTTAGGGGAACAGAATGGTTTGGGGTTGCACATCCTCCCTTACAGGAACAGAATGGTTTGGGATTGCCCATCCTCCCTCAAAGGAGCAGACTGGTTTGGGATTTCCCATCCTCCCTTAGGGGAACAGACTGGTTTGGGGTTGCCCATCCTCCCTTAGGGGAACAGACTGGTTTGGGGTTGCCTGAGCCCTCCCAAGGATCCTTTCCATTCAGTGACAGATTAGCAGCCCTGCTGTGCATCCTGTGCCCCGGTGCCCTTTCCAGGGGATCCCGGTGCCCTTTCCAGGGGATCCCGGTGCCCTTTCCAGGGGATCCTGTTCTGAATCCCTGCAGGCTGCAGCTGCTCTGGGCTGCTCCTCTCCCCCTCTCTCCTCTGCTGGAGCTGGGAATTCCTCACGTTGTCGTTCCTTGGGTTTCCTTTCCCCTGGCTCAGCTGCAGTCTCAGGTTTAGGAATCCTGAGCTGGGGGTTCTGGGTGGTTGGGATTTCACTCCCAGCCATCTCCAGCTCCTGTCAAGGCAGGAATTCATTTCTCTCCTGATCAGTTGTTACCTTGATTAATTAATTTATGCTGTTTAATGCCTGCCCTTCCCAGAGGTTTTCAGCTCAGTTTGCCCATTTGAGAAGAAATTCCTCTCAGGTTTACCTCGGATCAGGCTGGGTGTGAGGGGAGGGATCTGAGCCTGTGTTCAGCTAAAAAAATCCCAAAATCCCAAATTCCCTCCCACCTGCACGGGTGGCACCTGGATGGGGCAGGGGGCACCTGGATTGAGCAGGTGGGACCTGGATTGATCAGATAACAGCTGGATTGATCAGGTCACACCTGGATGGGGCAGGGGGCACCAGGATCGATCAGATCACACCTGCATTGATCAGATCACAGCTGCATTGATCAGGTCACACCTGCATTGATCAGATCACACCAGGATTGATCAGGTCACAGCTGCATTGATCAGGTCACACCTGGATTGATCAGGTGGCACCAGGACTGATCAGATCACACCAGGATTGATCAGGATTGATCAGATCACACCTGCATTGATCAGATCACACCAGGACTGATCAGATCACAGCTGCATTGATCAGGTCACACCAGGATTGATCAGGATTGATCAGATCACACCTGCATTGATCAGGTGGCCCCTGCATTGATCAGATCACACCAGGACTGATCAGATCACAGCTGCATTGATCAGATCACAGCTGCATTGATCAGATCACACCAGGATTGATCAGGATTGATCAGATCACACCTGCATTGATCAGAATTCCCCCATGGCACCGGCAGGAGCTGCCTCCAGCCCCAGGGGCTTTTTAAATAATTATTTTAATTTGAGTTTATTCACAATATTTATGATTAGACCTATCCGGACTTTCATTTATTTGGGTTTTTTTAATGATTATTTTAATTTTATTCACAATATTTATAATTAGGCCTATCTGGACTTTGATTTTTTTAATGATAATTTTATTCACAATATTTATGATTAGACCTATCCGCACTTTCATTTCTTTGTGTTTTTTTAATGACAATTTTAATTTCAGTTTCTCAGGGGTGGGGATCATTCTGGTCCCAGCACCCTCCAACCCTTTTCCCTGTGTTTTCCCCCATTCCAGGAGCAGGAATTACCAACAAATCCCAAGAGAATATTCACAAGATTTATAATGATATCTATCAGGACTTCAATTTTATTTTTTAATGATAATTTTATTCACAGTATTTATGATTAGACCTATCAGAACTTTAATCTATTTGGGTTTTAAAAAAAGGATTATTTTAATTTTATTCACAATATTTATAATGATATCTATCAGGACTTCAATTTTTTTTTTAATGATAATTTTATTCACAATATTTAGAATTCGACCTATCTGGACTTTCATTTATTTGCGTTTTTAAAAAATGATTATTTTAATTTTATTCACAATATTTATGATTAGGCCTATCCGCACTTTCATTTCTTTGTGTTTTTTTAATGATAATTTTAATTTTATCGACAATATTTAGAATTAGGCCTATCCGCACTTTCATTTCTTTGTGTTTTTTTAATGACAATTTTAATTTCACTGTCTCAGGGGTGGGGATCATTCTGGTCCCAGCACCCTCCAACCCTTTTCCCTGTGTTTTTCCCCCATTCCAGGTGTTCTGTTGGAGGATCCTTGGCACATTTATGGCGATTCTGAGCGTCAGGGCAGAATTCTGCCAGGCCCAGCACAGCACCCTGGCTGCCAAGTGAGCTCACAGGGGGCTCCCCAACCTCTTTGTGCTGCCACACAAAAATTCCCATTTTTTTGTTGGGTTTTTTTTTTTTTTTCCCCCCTTTTTTTTTTTTCCCCTCCAAGACTCTGGGACCTGGCTCAGATTTATGGGATTTCTCCTGGCCCAGGGAAGAACCAAGTGGAGACAAAGCCCTGCCCTCACCTCACCAGTGCCTCCATGCAGGCCAGGCTGCCCTGCCTGTGCTCTGCTCTGGGAATTTTGGGAGCCTGAAGGACACCAGCCCTGCCAGCAGCTGAGGATTTGGAAGCAAACCTGCTTTTCCTAGGAGCAAAGATTGAGGAACAAACCCATCAAAGCAAGCTCTGATCAATCCCAGGCATTTTAGTGCTCTTTTTGATGTTTTCTGCTGTGAAACGTTTCCAAGGTCATTGATTTATTTTTTGTTTTGTTTTGTTTTATTTTTCTCCCTTTATTTTGATTTTTTATTATTATTTTTGGGTTGTTTTTTGGTTTTTTTTGGCCCCTCACACCATTTTTTTGCCATTATGAACCGTCCAGCCCCCGTGGAAATTACTTACGAAAATCTGCGTTTCCTGATCACTCACAACCCAACCAATGCAACCCTCAGCAAGTTCATCGAGGTAAGGAGTCCCAAAAAATTCCCAAATCCCTCCCAATTCCTGGCCAGGAATCTGCTCACCTGCCCTTCCTCACCCCTGCAAGGAAATTTAAGGGGATTTTTGTCTTTTTTGCTCACATTCTCCTCACAGTATGAGAACAGAATTCACTGTGGTAGGTTTGGGGTTTTTGGGTTTTTTTTGGTGAATTTCTGCATTTCTCAGCTTCAATTTTGGGATGCAAACACATCCCCCTTTCCATCAATGTATCCTTGGGCAAAAAGAATGGGTTCAAACAGAAAAATTTAGGTTAAAAGTACAGGGAATTCCTGCCTGGGAGGGGCTGGGATGGAATTCCCAGAGGATCCCTGGAAATGTCCCAGGCCAAGTTGGTGTCCCCAACCAAAGGAGTGGAACTGGATCCCCATCCAAACCACCCCATGATAAAAATATTTTGATTTTGTGACTCTAGATATCCTTTTTCATTTAGCAATGAAAATAAAGGAGAAAATTAAGCAATTTTTAATAAATAAGTCAACCATTGCTGAGTTAAGAGTTGGAGCTGAGCTTTCTCCTCCCTCAGAAAATGAAATACAAATCAAGTTTGGGTTCACAGGATGAGTTGTTTAACTCCAGTGTCTAATTAAGAAAGGATACTTAGATTATTGTTTTCTTTTAACTCAATAATTGATTTTTTGAAGCTTGTAATGTGGACTTGTCTAATTACAAAACATCACTTAAATCTGTGAAGAAGAAGGAAAAAGAAGGTAAAGAAGAGCAACTTGCTCCTACCTTAAAACTTCTATTTTGCTTTGTATTTATTTTGATATTCTAAAATCTTTAAGTTTTTTTACTTTGTGATATTGCACACTTGTAATCTCAGTACTATCAATTAATTTTAGAACAAATTAATTAGTTTGTTCTATGACTTTAGGTCAAGTGCAGTGTTCCCCTGTGGGTCTGTGCCTTTGAGCACAGAAATTTTAAAATTCTCATAATCTAGGATTCTAACACCCCAATTATTGAGAATTTTTATTTAGAATTTTCATTTAGAATTTCCTCCCTTTTTCAGCACTCCCTGCAATGCATATTCCTGCTAATTCTGAGGTGCAATTCAGCCCCAAACAGCAGCAGAAATTCTGATTTTTGTGCCTTCAGAGTGAGCTGGAGCAGCTTTTGTTTGATGCTCTGGTTCTTTATCTGGCACCGGGTGCTGTTTTTAGTGCATTACCAGGAAGCTGGGCCATGGTGGGGTGTGTGTTCTGTTCCTCCAAATGTCAACACTGGCTGAAGCAAACAGTCCCAGGCTTCTATTTAAAGAGGAGGAGAAGCTGCATGGAGCATTTAAGCAGCTATTTTAGTACTCTTATAATTGCAATTTTCCTCTTATAAAAATTCCTATTTTTCCCCCCTTTAGAAACATTTTTTCTGTCCCTTTTTAAATTTCCTCACAAATTTTATCCCTTTGCTCCTTCCACAGTGCAGTGCCCTAAAAAGTGTGGAAAATGTTGATTTTTAGAGCTGATAAAAAGAGAGATTTCTTCATTATTCAGTGCTCAGGTGTTTCATTTCTCTTCCAGGAGCTGAAGAAGTACGGGGTGACAACCTTGGTGCGAGTTTGTGATGCCACTTATGATCAAGCTCCAATCGAGAAAGAAGGAATCCAAGTTCTAGTGAGTTGCCTTTAAAACTGGCTAAAAATAGGAATTTTCATCTCTAGAACTTGTGGGGATCCCTTCAGTGCTTGGGGATGGTCCAGCATGGCCAAAAACAAAATTTAGCACCAGGTAAAGGTGGGTTTAAAAAAACTCAATGGATTTTTGTGTGGGTTTTGGATTTGTTGAGATATTTTGTGTGGTTTTTTTTTTTTTTAGGGATTATTTTGGTGATACTTGGTGCTCAGCCCTGTGGTTGAAGCTTGGTTTGATTCTTGTCTCTGTCCCCACAGCATTTTTTGGCTTTGCTGTTGGATAAAATTCCCTCTCCTCGCTGTTACAGAAAGTGCCACTTTTGAGCCTGTGGGTGACAAATTGCCACAAATCTCTGTGGCAGGAGGGAACCCTGGAATCTTGGAATGTTTTGGGTTGGAAACCCTTAAAATTCATCCACACCATGGCCAGGGGGACACTCCCAATATCCAGATTAATCCAACCTGGCCTTGGACACTCCTGGGGCAGCCACAAATTCTCTGGGAAATCCACCCCAAAAGCCCCTGGAGCAGCCACAAATTCTCTGGGAAATCCACCCTAAAAACCCCTCCTCACCCTCAGAGGGAAGAATTCCTCCCAAAATCCCTTCCTGAGCCCTGAGTTGCCACAAATTCTCTGTGGCAGGAGAGAACCATGGAATCCTGGAATGTTTTGGGTTGGAAACCCTTAAATCTCATCCACACCATGGCCAGGGGGACACTCCCAATATCCAGATTAATCCGAGCTGGCCTTGAATTCTCTTGGAGCAGCCACAAATTCTCTGGGAAATCCATCCCAAAAACCCCTGGAGCAGCCACAAATTCTCTGGGAAATCCATCCCAAAATCCCCTCCTGAGCCCTGAATTGCCACAAATCTCTGTGGCAGGAGAGAACCATGGAATCCTGGAATGTTTTGGGTTGGAAACCCTTAAAATTCATCCACACCATGACCAGGGGGACACTCTCAATATCCAGATTAGTCCAACCTGGCCTTGAATTCTCTTGGAGCAGCCACAAATTCTCTGGGAAATCCATCCCAAAAACCCCTGGAGCAGCCACAAATTCTCTGGGAAATCCATCCCCAAAAACCCCTGGGGCAGCCACAAATTCTCTGGGAAATCCATCCCAAAAACCCCTGGAGCAGCCACAAATTCTGTGGGAAATCCACCCCAAAAACCCCTGGGGCAGCCACAAATTCTCTGGGAAATCCATCCCAAAAACCCCTCCTCACCCTCAGAGGGAAGAATTCCTCCCAAAATCCCTTCCTGAGCCCTGAATTGCCACAAATCTCTGTGGCAGGAGGGAACCCTGGAATCCTGGAATGTTTTGGGTTGGAAACCCTTAAATCTCATCCACACCATGGCCAGGGGGACACTCCCAATATCCAGATTAATCCGAGCTGGCCTTGAATTCTCTTGGAGCAGCCACAAATTCTCTGGGAAATCCACCCCAAAAACCCCTGGGGCAGCCACAAATTCTCTGGGAAATCCATCCCAAAAACCTCTGGGGCAGCCACAAATTCTCTGGGAAATCCATCCCAAAAACCCCTGGAGCAGCCACAAATTCTCTGGGAAATCCACCCCAAAAACCTCTGGGGCAGCCACAAATTCTCTGGGAAATCCACCCCAAAATCCCCTCCTCACCCTCAGAGGGAAGAATTCCTCCCCAAATCCCCTCCTGAGCCCTGAGTGGAGCTCAGCAGGTGGAATTCCTGCTGGGAATGGGAATTTCTCCCATTGCCATTGTGCAATGGTGTCTGGCTGAGCCAGGGAGGTTTTTTTAAGAGGTGTGTGCTCACCCCGAGCTTCCAGCAGTGTTTTTCCAAGCAATACTTGGGAATTATTAGAGTAACTGATAAAATCAGTTGATTTTGTTGGAGTGAGTAATAACAGCCTGGTGGTGTGAGGGCAGAAATTGCACCTCAGCCTTCCTGCAGCTTTGCGTGACTCAGCTGCAGGAAAACTCCTGCAGTTTGCCATGAGGGAAAAATAAAAATATTGTGGCTTATCAATGAAAATTTTGCATCCAGGTCAGTCAGGTTTCTTGGCTTCCACAGGAAAAATGCATTTTCCATGAGGAAAAGAAAATTTTTATCCTGGCATATCAGTGAAAATTCCATATGCAGGTCAGTCAGAGTTTGTGGCTTCCACAGGGAAACTCCTGCAGTTTTCAATGAGGGAAAAAAAGATTATTGTGACATATCAGTGAAAATTCCACATGCAGGTCAGTCAGGTTTTGTGGCAAAACTCCTGCAGTTTTCCATGAGGGAAAAATAAAATTATTGTGGCTTATAAATGAAAATTCCACGTGCAGGTCAGTCAGGTTTCTTGGCTTCTACAGGAAAAATGCAGTTTTCCATGAGGAAAAGAAAATTTTATCCAGGCATATCAGTGAAAATTCCACATGCAGGTCAGTCAGGGTTTGTGGCAAAACTCCTGCAGTTTTCCATGAGGAGAATTTTTTTTTTTTTTCCATGGAGAAAAAGATTTTTATCCTGGAATATCAAATTCCACATCCAGGTCAGTCAGGTTTTGCAGCTTCCACAGGAAAACTCCTGCAGTTTTCCATGAGGGAAAAATAAAATTATTGTGGCTTATAAATGAAAATTTTGCATCCAGGTCAGTCAGGGTTTGTGGCTTCCACGGGAAAACTCCTGCAGTTTTCCATGAGGAGAAAAAAAATTTATTGTGGCTTATCAATGAAAATTCCATGTGCAGATCAGTCAGGTTTCTTGGCTTCTACAGGAAAAATGAAGTTTTCCATGAGGAGAAAAAAAATTTATTGTGGCATATCAATGAAAATTCCACGTGCAGGTCAGTCAGAGTTTGTGGCTTCCACAGGAAAATTCATGCAGTTTTCCATGAGGAGAAAAAAATTTTTATCCTGGCATATCAGTAAAAATTCCATATGCAGGTCAGTCAGGTTTTGTGGCAAAACTCCTGCAGTTTTCCATGAGGAGAAAAATTTTTTTTTTTTTCCATGGAGAAAAAGATTTTTATCCTGGAATATCAAATTCCACATCCAGGTCAGTCAGGGTTTGCGGCTTCCACAGGAAAACTCCTGCAGTTTTCCATGAGGAGAAAATAATTTTATTGTGGCATATCAATGAAAATTCCACATCCAGGTCAGTCAGGTTGCTTGGCTTCTACAGGAAAAATGCAGTTTTCCATGAGAAAAGAAAATTTTATCCTGGCATATCAGTGAAAATTCCACATGCAGGTCAGTCAGGGTTTGTGGCTTCCACAGGGAAACTCCTGCAGTTTTCAATAAGGGAAAAAAAGATTATTCTGACATATCAGTGAAAATTCCACATGCAGGTCAGTCAGGTTTTGTGGTTTCCACAGGAAAACTCCTGCAGTTTTCCATGAGGGAAAAATAAAATTATTGTGGCTTATAAATGAAAATTTTGCATCCAGGTCTGCCAAGTTTCTTGGCTTCCACAGGAAAACTCCTGCAGTTTTCCATGAGGAGAAAATAATTTTATTGTGGCATATCAATGAAAATTCCACATCCAGATCAGTCAGGTTTCTTGGCTTCTACAGGAAAAATGCAGTTTTCCATGAGGAAAAGAAAATTTTTATCCTGGCATATCAGTGAAAATTCCACATGCGGGTCAGTCAGGGTTTGCGGCTTGCACAGGAAAACTCCTGCAGTTTTCCACGAGGAGAAAATAATTTTATTGTGGCATATCAATGCAAATTCCACGTGCAGGTCAGTCAGGTTTCTTGGCTTCTAAAGGAAAAATGCAGTTTTCCATAGGAGAAGAAAGTTTTATCCAGGCATATCAGTGAAAATTCCACATGCAGGTCAGTCAGAGTTTGCAGCTTCCACAGGGAAACTCCTGCAGTTTTCCATGAGGGAAAAATAAAATTATTGTGGCATATCAATGAAAATTCCACATGCAGGTCAGTCAGGGTTTGTGGCAAAACTCCTGCAGTTTTCCATGAGGAGAAAAAATTTTTTTTTTCCATGGAGAAAAAGATTTTTATCCTGGAATATCAAATTCCACATGCAGGTCAGTCAGGTTTTGCGGCTTCCACAGGAAAACTCCTGCAGTTTTCCATGCAGAAAATAAACCTCAAAACCATGGAAAAACTCCTGCAGTTTTCCATGAGGAGAAAATGATTTTCTTGTGGCATATCAGTGAAAATTCCACGTGCAGGTCAGTCAGATTTGCTGGCTCCCAGCCCTGCTGAGCTTTTATTCCAGTGCCAGGCAGCCACGTGGTTGGAAAAGTCCCTCCTTGCAGGGCTGCCCTCTGGAATTGTGCTTTTCCTCCTTCCAGAGGGCACTGGGAGGATTAAATTAAATTAAATTTGTGCTGTGGAATCCCTCTGAGCCCTGAGTTAAGCTGGGGCTTGGGGGAGAGAGAATTCCTGTTCCAGAGGGGAAATTCCTCCCAGGGCAGCCATGGGATGGAATTCCCACCTTCTCCAGGCCTTGGCGTTTGTATTTCTAAAATAATTCAAGTTTTTTTTCCTTCTTAGGAAGCTTTAAAACTCAATTTTGAACTGAAAGCTGCTCTTTGAGGAAGCTTTGCTAAAAAAAACCCCAAAAAGCAAAAACTGGGAATCGGATTTGCTGCAGCTCTGCCCTGGTGTGGAGAGCAAAATCTCTTTGTTCGGAGATATTTCATCCTAAAAAGCCTTGGGACACTGCTCCAGAAGGGAGATAAATCCAGCTCCTTTTCCCCATGAATTCCTGCTTTTTATTTTCCAGCCAGAGTCCTCTTGCTGCTCTGCAATGGGATTGAGTGACCCCCGGCTGAGAAAATAACACCTCGCTATTTCCAGCTAATATTTGCCTGTGAAAAATAACATTCAGCGTTAAAAACACAGCCTGGGGCAAGATTAGCGCCTCTTTTAGCACCATTTAATGGCTATTTTAGCACTGCCGAGGTCACAAATGTGGTGAAACCCCTGAAAACGGAAATGTTTTGGCAAACCTGCGAGTGGGTCATGGGTAAAATGTGGTGGCTCCAGAATTTGGGGTTTTTTTCCAGATGGCAGAAAATAGGGAAGGAGCTGTTCCTGGGGCTGGGCTGCAATTCCCTGCAGGGATGGATTTCATTCCTTGGGCTGCACAAAAATTCAGGAGCACAAAATTAGGAAAACCAGGAATTTTTAAAATTTTTTAAATTTTTTTTTTTCTGAGGATTTTTGGCTTCCAGAGGGGCTCTGGTGGCTTTGTTCATCTTCAGCATTTTCTTTTTTTTCTGAGGGGATTTTTGGCAATTTTTGGTTTTCAGAGGGGCCTGTTGTGGCTTTGTTCATCTTCAATATTTTCTTTTTTCTGAGGTGATTTTTGGCAATTTTGGCTTCCAGAGTTGGCTTTGTTCATCTTCAATATTTTCTTTTTTTCCGAGGTGATTTTTGGCACTTTTTGGCTTCCAGAGGGGCTGTGGTAGCTTTGTTCATCTTCAATATTTTCTTTTTTCTGAGGTGATTTTTGGCACTTTTTGGTTTCCAGAGGGGCCTGTGGTGGCTTTGTTCATCTTCAGCATTTTCTTTTTTTTCTGAGGGGATTTTTGGCAATTTTTGGTTTTCAGAGGGGCCTGTGGTGGCTTTGTTCATCTTCAATATTTTCTTTTTTCTGAGGGGATTTTTGGCACTTTTTGGCTTCCAGAGGTGCCTTTGTTCATCTTCAGCATTTTCTTTTTTCTGAGGTGATTTTTGGCACTTTTTGGTTTCCAGAGGGGCTGTGCTGGCTTTGTTCATCTTCAATTTATTTTTTCTGAGGTGATTTTTGGCACTTTCTGGTTTCCACAGGTGGCTTTGTTCATCTTCAGTATTTTCTTTTTTTTTCTGAGGGGATTTTTGGCACTTTTTGGCTTCCAGAGATGACTTTGTTCATCTTCAGTATTTCTTTTTTCTGAGGGGATTTTTGGCACTTTCTGGTTTCCACAGGTGGCTTTGTTCATCTTCAGTATTTTCTTTTTTCTGGGGTGATTTTTGGCAATTTTGGCTTCCAGAGATGTCTTTGTTCATCTTCAGTATTTTTATTTTTTTCTGAGGTGATTTTTGGCACTTTTTGGCTTCCAGAGATGTCTTTGTTCATCTCCATGATCCAAGGGATATTTCCTTGTCTTTTTCTCACTCTTTCATTTATTGGATCAGCGTTTTTTCCCCTCTGTGCCCCCAAGAGCCACCACCAGGCTGGCACAGGGAGGTGGAAATTCCTTGGGGCTCCTAAATCCGCTATTTCTGAAGAAAATCTTCTTTATCACCTCCAAGTTCTGTCACTTCACCACCTTTGTGGCCATTCCTGGAGCTGTTGTGCCATTCCAAAAAAAAGGGCAAAAAATGATAAATCCCTTTCCTGCCTCTCCCCCTTTGTGCAATCCTGGTTTTTAATCACTGTGCACCTCAGAATTTGCTTTTTTTTTTCCTTCCAACCAGAACCCAGAGGTGGCAGAGCTCAGAACAAGGAAAAAAAATAAAAAATCCCTGCAAAACTTTGTTGCAACTCCATCCCTGATGCCAGAATTATTTTGTCCCTGTGTGTTTTATCAGTGCTGGGATTGATGCAGGCCAGCCCAGGAGTTGTGTGGATAGGAAAGAAAGGAGTTAATTTTAATTAAACACAGAAAATCCTCTTTCAGAAGCAGCATCCTGCTGTCTGTGCCTCTCTTGCTGGGACAGGGGGTGCCACAGACCTGAAATAACCCAGCAGCACTGTGGGATTGGCTGGAAAATCCCATAAAAACCTTTTATTAGGAAAAAGAACAAATTTTTGATTTGTAGTTTTATTCCTGTGGCCTTTCCCTTTGCTGTGTTGTCCCAGATATTTTTAATTTTCCAAGGACTTTAACAAAGGGTTTCTCTGCACTCTTCAAGCTCGGTGAATTAATCCCATATAAAATTATTTTGGTATTTTTGGGTTTTGTTTTTTTATTTTTAACAGCACATTTCTGAGCTGTGTTTGCTCTTCAGGAAGTGCTGAGTGCATCTCAGAATGAAAACTCTGGTGGTTTGTGCTGTTTCCAGCTTTTAGAGAATTTTATTTCATCAAAACTTCTTCTTAAAGTGCTCCAGGAAAGAGAATTTTAGTCCTAAAGAGGAGAGAGGGCTCTTTTTAAAGCAATTTCCATCCATTTTCATTGGTTCTGGAATAATCCAGGACCCTGCCATGAGTTTTGCTGCTAAAATACATCACAACCATCTAAAGAAAAGTGCTAAATAATCACTAAATACTATTTTATAACTACTAAATACTGTTTTGATTCCCTTTACATCCTTTCTCCAGCACTTCCTACATCCAAGAAAATTATAAACTCTGGGATGTTGTGCTTGGGCCTGAAAGGAAAGATGTGAGGTAGAAATTCCAGGAAAGTTGGGTGAGGAAAAATGAAAGCTGCTTCCATGGCAAAAAAATATCAATTTTTGATTATTGATAGTAAATATAGCCTGGATTTAATGGGGGCTGCCCCTTCAGCAGCAAAAAATGTGAATTTCTGCCATTATTTGAGCACCTTTCTCCTCATAAAAGTGGGGTTTTTTGGGTTTTTTTTTTCAAATTGAAACTGCCATTGTTTGAGCACCTTTCTCCTCATAAAAGTGGGGTTTTTTGGGTTTTTTTTTTCAAATTGAAACTGCCATTGTTTGAGCACCTTTCTCCTCATAAAAGTGGGGTTTTTTGGGTTTTTTTCAAATTGAAAACACCCAGGTGTTTGGGAACTCCCTGAATTCCTGGAGGGAGCTGCTCCTCTGGAATTGGGAATTTTTAGGAGCAACTTTACCCCCTCAGAGCCTGGAGCATGAATGGGATTTTCAGCCACCAGCAGAGCTCTGCAGAGTCCTTCTCTCTCCCCGTGTTTATCTGAAAACACCCATTGATTTTCACCTCTTTTTTTTTTCATAAAATGGCATTTCAAGGGCAGGGATTTCTCTTAAAAATTCTTTATTGCACAGGAGTTCAGGTGGGGCTGCAGTGCCAAGTGCAATTAAATGGTTGTTAAACATTTAACGTTGCATTTTATCGACCTGCAAACTCCTGTGCCGCCAGGGAAAAAACCCCAAAAATTATCTTTATTATCCTTTTTTTTTTGTTTGTTTTTTTTTGCTAAATGTAGGATTTCTGTCCCTGCTGCAGGCTGTGGGTTTAAAGGATTTTTTCCCCTCAGGACTGGCCCTTTGATGATGGAGCGCCGCCCCCCAGCCAGATCGTGGAGGATTGGCTGAACCTTTTGAAAACCAAATTTCGGGAGGAGCCCGGGTGCTGCGTGGCCGTTCACTGTGTGGCAGGGCTGGGAAGGTCAGTGCCCTAAAATTGGCTGAAATAATAACGAATTTAATGAAAATATTCGTGAATTGTTATTTATTTCAAGATTCGATGTATTGTTATTTATTGTTATTATTTGATTGTATTAAATAATAAATTTAAATGCGAAATTATTATATTATTAGCACTTGTCTAGTCATTAATCAATATAATTAATTTAATAATTATTAGTAAATTAACTATTTAATTAGATTAAATTTGTTAGTTAAAATAAATAATTTTGTATTGAGTTTATTAATAAATTTAAATACTGAACTACCATAATTATTAACAATTTTGTATTAGTAAGTCAGTAGAATTAATATAATAATAGCAAATAAAATAATTATTTAATTAGATAAAATAATAAATTTATATACTAAATTAATATAATTATCAATAATTTTATATCAATAAATGAATATAATTAATGTAATAACTATTAGTAGATTAATTAATTATATTAAATGGTAAATTTGAATACTAAATTAATGTAATTATGAATACTTTTATATTGATAATTTAATAGAATTATTAATCGTGGATCAACTAGTTATTTAGTTATATTAAATAATTAATTTAATAAATGCAATAATAAGCTTCATTAATTTGGCAGGAAGGTGTTCAACAAACCCCAGCTTCTCAGTTTTCTCCCAAATAATTTAAACCAACATCAAATTTGTGTCATGAAAGCAACAGGGACTTCATGCAGCTTTAAAATAGTAATTCATTAATTTCAATGTAAATAATAAATTATTATATGCATACAGTGTATTATATTCATACATGATATGAATTAATGGATTCGTTTCATAGTTGATTAAGAACTTTGGGGGACACTTGTGCTAATCATGAATTCAGTGATTTCAAAGTGTTGTGAATTGATCAAATTCACCCTTGGAGAATGAATAATTGTATTTATTCAGATGCAGGGTAATAGTGGGGGTTATTCCTCCTGAATTTTCTCATTTTAGCCACAGGACCTGGCCCATTTCTGGCACCTCTTTAATTCTTCTTTACACCACCCTTAGAGATGCCCCTTGCATTGTGGGGTGGAGAAAATTCAATGTATTTTGGGATTCTTGGGTGTTAAAACCCCATTTTTTTTACCATTAACTGACTTCTGAAATGAAGATCCCAAAGCAGAAAATTCTACTTCTCCCTGCTCCTTGAGAGAATTAGTTAAAAAAGAAAAATACATAAATATCTCTAAAGCCATAGCTCAGTGTCTGCACAGCTGACTCCACACTCAAAAGCATTCAGGAGATGTCAAAAACCAGAAAATGAGGTTAAAGGGAGATAAAACCCCAGAATTATTCTCATACCCCAACCACTAAAGAGCTGCTATTGATTTTTATTTCCTTTGCAAGCAGAATCCCCTCCAAAAAAAGTCATTTTACATCGGGCAAAACACCTTTCTGTAGGAAATGCTGAGGGGAAAAAACCCTTCAGCTGCTTGTTTGGGGAGAGCAATTGGATGAAATGTGAAGGATTCCATTTATTATTTCTGTGCTTCTCCCTTAAATATTGATTTTTTCTCCTGCAGGGCTCCCGTTCTGGTCGCGCTTGCTCTCATTGAATGTGGAATGAAGTATGAGGATGCAGTTCAGTTTATAAGGCAGTAAGTGAAAAGTCTTTTTTTCTTCCTCAGGAATCTTTTATTCTGTGGTTTTTGACCTGCCTGAACCTGTTAAGGAAGAGATTTGGGGTTTTTTATGAGTTTTATCCTAAAATAAATAATATCTCGTTAAAATTTGCGTTTAAATGTGAAGAAAAAGCTCAAATATCTTGAATTTTGTGAGGTGAAAATCTGCCTGAAGTGAATGCAAATGAGGTAAAAATCTGCCTAAAGGTGCATTTTTCCCATTGATATCCACCTTTTTTGTGTTTTTTTAGGAAAAGGAGGGGAGCTTTCAATAATATTTATTATTGGATTTTTCCCATTGATATCCACCTTTTTTGTGTTTTTTTAGGAAAAGGAGGGGAGCTTTCAATAATATTTATTATTTCATCTATTTTGAATATTGTTAAGTATAAAAACATTCTTAAAATATGAATTAATTTAAATTAAAACCAATCTGCCTGAAGTGAGCATAAAGGTGGATTTTTCCCATTGATATCCACTTTTTTGTGTGGGTTTTTTATTAGGAAAAGAAGGAGAGCTTTCAATAATTATTATTTAATATATTTTGAATATTATTAAATATAAAAACATTCTTAAAATGTTAATTAATTAAAACTAATCTGCCTGAAGCAAGCATAAAGGTGCTTTTTCCCCATTGGTATCCACCTTTTTTGTGGTTTTTTAGGAAAAAGAGGGGAGCTTTCAATAATATTTATTATTTCATCTATTTTGAATATTGTTAAGTATAAAAACATTCTTAAAATATGAATTAATTTAAATTAAAACCAATCTGCCTGAAGTGAGCATAAAAGTGCTTTCTTTCCCATTGATATCCACTTTTTTTGTGTGGGTTTTTTATTAGGAAAAGAAGGAGAGCTTTCAATAATTATTATTTAATATATTTTGAATATTATTAAATATAAAAACATTCTTAAAATATTAATTTAAATTAAAACTAATCTGCCTGAAGTGAGCAAAAAAATGCTTTTTTTCCCATTGATATCCACCTTTTTTGTGGTTTTTATTTTTTAGGAAAAGGAGGGGAGCTTTCAATTCCAAACAGCTGCTTTATCTGGAGAAATACCGGCCCAAGATGAGATTACGCTTCAAAGATGCCAACGGTCACTGCTGTGTTCAATAAATAAACACAAAAACCAAAATGTTGATCTCAAAAGGAAGGCAGAAGTGAGCGGGGGGCTCTTCTCTGGACTCTTGGCACCTGGAAATGTGAATCTGGAATCAAAAAAAAAAAAAAAGAAAAAAAAAAAAAGGAAAAAAAATGTCATTAAATTAGTGGTGGAGTCAGTGCTCCTGAACCTCTGTCCTTAAAAAAAAAAAAGGGTGATGATGATTGAGAGGAAAAAAAACCCCAAAATTAGAAAAATATATAATAATAATTATAATAATAATAAAAAAGCCAATTAAGAGAAACATTTCAGTGAAGGATTGTTTTCTCCTTAAGCTGCAACCTGCAAGGAGAAAAGCAGTTTCTGAACCTTCTGTATTTTTAACTTTTTAAGAAAAGAAATAAAGTCAACTTTATGTCTAAGGAAAAGCAGCAGAGCATTGCCTTGTGCAGAAAGGATTTTCTCGAGGTGAGAAAAGCACCCCCAGCCGGGAATGTGAATTCCTGAGATGTGAATTCCTTTAAAAAAAGGAAATTTTTTTTGTTTTTAACGAGGGACACGAGGAGGAGCTGGCTGGGAACAGCCTGACAGCCTTAAGCCCCTTTTTTGGGCACATCCCAGGGATTTTGGGGGATGTTTTCCATGGAATTCTGACTCCTGGGGGGCTTGAACAGGACCCTCACTGCCTAAACCCTGTGGTGAATCTGGTTTTTTGTGGGAGTGTGTGTGTGATCCTCTGTGTGTGTCACTCTGATTTTTCCCAAAGAATTCGGCTGAAATGTTAATTTGAGACAGAAAATCCATCCTGGCACACAAGACTGATGTTCCAAAGTGTCCTGGGCGAGCGAGGGGCGATTCAAACAAGGGTTTAAAATTAATTTCTCTGTCAGAAAGATGGAAAAGGCTTTTTTATTTTAATTTTTTTTTGCTGCTGTCCACGTGCCCGGCCTTGCTGAGCACAGGAAATTGGGATTTCGAGGGAAGGCCTCACTTGGTGTGAGGGGGAATTTTCTCAGTTGAGCCTGTGATCCTTTTTTATTGGGGTTTTTGGGAGGGAGAATCCCAATTTCCACCCCTAAATCCTGTCACCCTTCATCAGCACACCCTAAAAATTTGGATTTTTGGAAATCTTTTTGTGGGGCTGCCAGGGAACAAATGGAAGGTTTTGAGGAGCAATTTTGGCCAGGCTGCTCCTGCCAGACCCATTTTTCATTTTGGTTGCCCCAGGAGTTACTTTGAGTACCTTGTCCTGGTGATTTTCCATAATATCCACATTTTTTTTCCATAATATCAATATTTTCCCCATAATACCCAGTTTTAGAAGGGTTTGGATCCACCTTGCTGAGCACAGGAAGTTGGGATTTCGAGGGAAGGCCTCACTTGGTGTGAGGGGGAATTTTCTCAGTTGAGCCTGTGATCCTTTTTTATTGGGGTTTTTGGGAGGGAGAATCCCAATTTCCACCCCTAAATCCTGTCACCCTTCATCAGCACACCCTAAAAATTTGGATTTTTGGAGATCTTTGTGTGAGGCTGCCAGGGAACAAATGGAAGGATTTGAGGAGCAATTTTGGCCAGGCTGCTCCTGCCAGACCCATTTTTCATTTTGGTTGCCCCAGGAGTTACTTTGAGTACCTTGTCCTGGTAATTTTCCATAATATCCACATTTTTTTTTCCATAATATCAATATTTTTCCCCATAATACCCAGTTTTAGAAGGGTTTGGATCCACCTTGCTGAGCACAGGAAATTGGGATTTCGAGGGAAGGCCTCACTTGGTGTGAGGGGGAATTTTCTCAGCTGAGCCTCTGATTCTTTTTTATTGGGGTTTTTGGGAGGGAGAATCCCAATTTCCACCCTAAATCCTGTCACCCTTCATCAGCACACCCTAAAAATTTGGATTTTTGGAGATCTTTTTGTGGGGCTGCCAGGGAACAAATGGAAGGATTTGAGGAGCAATTTTGGCCAGACTGCTTCTACCAGACACAATTTTAATTTTGGCTGCCCCAGATGGGATCTTGCACGTTCTCCTGGCTAATTTTCCACAATATCCATTTTTTTTCCATAATACCCATATATTTCCCCATAATACCCAGCCTTGGATGGGTTTGGATCCAGGTTTTGGGCCCTGTTCCCTCAGGATATTTTGAAATTTGGGTTTTTTGGGTTGTACCTGCAGCAAGTGAGGTTTCATCCCCATCCCTTCCTCATCCTCCCTTTCTCAGGATTTCCCCTTTTCCCAAACTCCTGCAGGAGCCTTTCCAGAACACAGAAAATGGATTTTAGGAATTCCAGCCTTGGCAGAGATTTTAATAAATTGACCCAGAAAATGTCAGTGCTTGTCAAAGTCCCTCAGGTGAGCTCCCCAAACCCTCCCTGCCTTCAGGCTGTGCTGAATCCCCTCCTCCCTGTGGAATATTCTGATTTTTCCATGGATCAAGGAGAGCTGGAAGTGTTTTTTGGGGTGGGTGCTGCCCTGAGGAGGGAGGGAAATGGTGCTGAAATCCCAATTCTGCCCTTTGCCTTCCCCTCCCACCCTCAGAGCCTGAGGAGTCGATAAAAACGGACCTTTCTGCAAAGAGAAAAAAAATGGAATTTTGAGCCAAAGGTATCCCGGTTTTTAAACCAATTTGACAAATTCTGGAATTCAGATGAGAGGGGACGGTGCTGAGCTGAATGCAAACCCCAACTCCTCCTGAAGAACCATAAAATAAACCAAATTTTAAATGCTCCATGTATAACTTCACATTCTTCCTCCTGTTCCCCTAATTCCCCCCTTTGATTTATGATGTCCTAATTATCATATCCAGCCTTAATTAGATGGGGAAATGCAGATTGTCCCGGTGTCCCCAGGAGCTGGGGATGTCACTGTGCCCCAGGCGCAGCTCCTGGCTCAGCACTTGAACCTGGTGCAATAAAGTTCTTGCAGTAAAAATCTCTTTTTCCTCTGCCTCTCGATGCATTTATTGCAGCTCATTCATGGTCAATAATCACCTTTAATTGAGTTTAATTGTCTCCAAGAGTTCGTGCCCCCGTGGTTTGGAGTTGCTGCTGGGAAAAGCTGATTTTTTAGCAGGGAAAAAGGAACAATTCTTTTATCTCTTTAAAAATTCTTTTTAAAATTATTTTTAAATTATTTTACAAATTCTTTTAAAATTCTTCAATTTTTTTAAATTCTTAAAAAATTCTTAAAAAATTCTTTAAAAATTCTTTAAAAATTCTTTAAAAAATTCTTTTAAAATTCTTTAAAAAGTCTAAGAATTCTTTAAAAATTCTTTAATCTCTTAAAAAAAAATAAAGTGGAAACTTACCTTGAAACAACCCAAACAACAGCTCTGACCTTTCCCAGGAGCTGTTGCCAAAACTTTTCTGGACAAAGCTTGACCTGGCAGCACCTGAATGGGGGAATTGTTTTGGGGTGAAAATAGGGGAATTTTGGGGTCCTGAATACCAATATTTTCTCCTTTTTTAGCACTGAAATGCTGTTGTTCTATTTAATTAATTTAAATATTTTCAGGTGCTTTTTTTTTCCTGGATTTTTTTCCACAGAAGTTGAGCTGTTTAATTTATTTAAATTAATTTCAGGTGTTTCTTTTCCCTGGGTTTTCACTGATAATGATCAGCTTTGCTCTGCTGCCATCAGAGAAATCTCCTCCTTGCAAATGGGTTTTGGATTTCCAACATTTATCAGATTTTTCCCACTCCAGAACAATTTTTTAATCCCTGTTGGCTGTGAGAGAATAAAACCCCTGGGAGGGGAGACTGGAAGTTCCAGCTCCTCTTTTTTACCTTTTTTGTTTTTTAACACCAAACTCTTGTTTGTTTTTCCAAATGTCTGGGTTTTTTTTAATTACTGCTCCTAAAAGTGAAATGTCCTGCTAATTAAAGGCTATTTAGGAAAAAAAAATTAGCAGGCCCTTAATTGGAGCTGAGATATTCTTGTGTGATAGGAATCACTTTTTTCCTCTGGATAATTTTTTTTCCACCAAAATCCAGGCAGCTGCTGGAATTAAATTTATATTATTTTATTTCTATTTAATTTAATCTATTTTATCTATTTTATTTCTATTTAATTTTTATTTTGTTATAAATTATTTTATTTAATTTACATTTAATATTTTATTTACTTTATATCACTTAAAATTCTGGGTTTGGGTATTACTTATTTTATTTCTATTTAATTTATATTTTAATTTTTTTTAAATTTATCTTTTATTTTGAATTTATATCCCTTCAAATGCTGGTTTTGGAGCAATTAAGGCTGATGAGCACAGTGGGAGCTGCAGGAATCACTTCAGAGAATTCCAGGCTGGAATTGGAGGGGGGGAACCATCAGGATCAGCTCATTCCAGAGCCTCCAACCAGCCCAGGATGCTCTGAAATAAAAGATAATAAATCATTTTATCCCATTTTAATTTTCTTTACTGGGTTTGTCCTGCCCAGACAGATCAGCTCCAGGCAGGGCCTCTCCCAGCCCTTCCCTGCTCCATCCCTGCTCCTTCCCTGCTCCATCCCTGCTCCTTCCCTGCTACTTTCCTCCTCCATCCCTGCTCCTTCCCTGCTCCATCCTTGCTCCATCCCTGTTCCTTCCCTGCTCCATCCTTGCTCCATCCCTGCTCCTTCCCTGCTCCTTCCTTCCTCCTCGCTCAGAATGTTCCCTGTTCCCTCCACAGGGATGTTCCAAGGGCACCCAGGAATGCTGAGGGCAGGGACTTTACAGATTTGGGTGTTGCCCCAATTTGCACTTGGGACGAGCTCTGGCTCTGGCTGGGCCTCCTAATTCCAAGATCTGGGCATCTCCTAATCCCGACATTTGGGATGCCCACACAATTTTGCGCCACAAAATCGGGATTTGGGATCCCCAAATCCCAAATGGGGATTCCCAGAGCAGCTGTGGCCTCCCCTGGATCCCAAGGCCAGGTTGGACGGGGCTGGGACAGTGGGAGGTGTCCCTGCCCTGACAGGGCTGGAATGGGACGATCCCTCAGATCCCATTTCCTGAGGGAATCAAATCCCTCAGATCCCATTTACTGAGGGAATGGGACGATCCTTCAGGTACCATTTCCTGAGGGGACGGGACGATCCCGCAGATCCAATTTCCTGAGGGAATGGGATGATCCCTCAGGTCCCATTTCCTGAGGGAATGGGACGATCCCTCAGATCCCATTTCCTGAGGGAATCAAGTCCCTCAGGCCCCATTTCCTGAGGGGACGGGACAATCCCTCAGATCCCATTTCCTGAGGGAATGGGACAATCCTTCAGGTACCATTTCCTGAGGGAATGGGACGATCCCTCAGATCCCATTTCCTGAGGGGACGGGACAATCCCTCAGGCCCCATTTCCTGGGGGAATGGGATGATCCCTCAGGCCCCATTTCCTGAGGGAATCAAATCCCTCAGGCCCCATTTCCTGAGGGAACGGGACGATCCCTCAGGTCCCATTTCCTGAGGGAATCAAATCCCTCAGATCCCATTTCCTGAGGGAATCAAATCCCTCAGATCCCATTTCCTGGGGGATTTGATTCTCTGCTTTTCCAGGCAGGCCTTTTTGCCCAGGGTGGGGTTTCCAGGCTGGTGGGTGTTTCTAGGGGGGGATCAGTGATGCCCCAGCTCTCCCTTTCTCCCCAGCTCCCCCTTCCTGAGTGACTTTTAAAAAAGCTGTGGAGCATCCCTGGAGCCCCATCCTGCAGGGAACACGGCAGCAGGGTGGGAATGGATCCTGAAAATCTCGGGAAGGAGAGGGATTGGCCTGCGTGGGAAGGGGCCTTGGTAGAGCCACGAAAAACTGGGGGAAAAAAATGGGAATCTGTCATTTGTTTGGCGTTTCCTTGCCGGTTTTCTCACCTCCCTCCCTCTGCCTGACTCACAAACCTGCTGCTCTGCATTTCTGGGATTCATCCTGCAGCTCTGCATCCTCCCTGGAATTGCTCAGCAGGATCGATCCCAGCCCATGGGGAAGGTTTTTTTCCCCTTGATTGCTGTTTAATTAACGACAATTCACGCTTTCCTCCAGCCTTGGGAATGGCCCGGAGGGGATTTTATTTCCAGCTCTCTGTGCTTTATTCCCGAGGCTGGGATGGGTTGATCCCGGGGATTCCCATAATCCCTCAGAATTCCCATAAAACCCTCAGAAAATTCACTTTGGGAAGTGGACCTGGATAAATCCACAGACACAGACGGGTCAGGGACAAATCCGGGACATTTCAGACAGCGGGGAGACAACAAAATTTCATCCAAGGGTTTTTTTTCTTTCTTTTTTTTTTTTTTAATTCCATAGAGAAACTGATAATGAACCTCCCTGCTTCCCAAAGCGTTGCCATGGCAACCGGCAGGATGCAGGGATGGATGGGAAGTGTCACCCTCGAGGGGGGAGTGGGGACAGCTGCTGCCTGCGGGCACCTGGGATGGGGGTTACAGGTGGGATAATGGGGTTACAGGGGGAATAATGGGGTTAAAGGTGGGATAAATGGGGGTACAGGGGGAATAATGGGGTTACAGGGGGAATAAAGGGGTTACAGGGGGAATAATGGGGTTACAGGGGGAATAAAGGGGTTACAGGTGGAATAATGGGGTTACAGGGGGAATAAAGGGGTTAAAGGCAAGATAAATGGGGTTACAGGTGGGATAAATGGGGGGTACCGGGGGAATAATGGGGTTACAGAAAGAATAAAGGGGTTACAGGTGGGATAAATGGGGTTACAGGTGGGATAATGGGGTTACAGGGGGAATAAAGGGGTTAAAGGTGGAATGATGGGTTTAGAGATGGAATAATGGGGGTTCCAGGTGGAATAATGGGGTTACAGATGGAATTAAGGGGTTCCAGGTGGAATTAAGGGGTTACAGAAAGAATAATCAGGTTCCAGGTGGAATAAAAGGGTTACAGATGGAATAATGGGGTTACAGATGGAATGAAGGTGTTCCAGGTGGAATAAAGGGGTTACAGATGGAATAATGGGGTTACAGATGGAATGAAGGTGTTCCAGGTGGAATAAAGGGGTTACAGATGGAATAATGGGGTTACAGATGGAATTAAGGGGTTCCAGGTGGAATTAAGGGGTTACAGCAAGGATTCCAGCTGGAGTAAAGGGGTTCTAGGTGGAATAGAGGGGCTGTAGCAGGAAATACAAGAATTCCACCTGGAACGAGGGTGTTCCAGGAAGGATTCCAGCTGGAATAAAGGATTCCAGCTGAATTAGAGGGGTTCCAGCTGGAATAGAGAGGTTCCAGCTGGAATAGAGGGGTTCCTGTTGGAATAAAGGGGTTCCTGTTGGAATAGAGGGGTTCCAGCTGGAATAGAGGGGTTCCTGTTGGAATAAAGGGGTTCCTGTTGGAATAAAGGGGTTCCAGCTGGAATAGAGGGGTTCCTGTTGGAATAGAGGGGTTCCTGTTGGAATAGAGGGGTTCCAGCTGGAATAGAGGGGTTCCTGTTGGAATAAAGGGGTTCCAGCAAGGCTTCCAGCTGGGATAAGGGGGTTCCAGGTGGAACAAAGGATTGCAGCTGGGATGAAGTGTTCCAGCTGAAGGACACCCTGCAGGGGAGCAGTGCTGATCCCAGTTCCTGCTCCATCCAGGGAGGAAGAGGTTCCCTGTGCTTCCTCCACCCCACAGCACCCCCTGCGCCTCGCTGATATTCCGGATTTTTGTCAAATTCTTTCCCCACTTCTGGGAGGAGCTTTGGGATCAAACCCCAGCGCTTTAAACCATTCCAGGTCCAGGAACCCAGGAGGGGCTGGGAGGATGAAGATCCAGCGGGATCCCATCCCAAATCCCTGCTGGGAGTGGGACCGTGCCGCCCTCGGCTCTCAGGGCAGCGCCGCTGATGGGGACAAGGCAGGAGCCGCTCAGGGAGGGCCAGACCCGCCTTGTTCAGCAGGTAAAACATCCAGGAACAGCTTTTTTCCCTGGGAATGGCTGTCAGGGAGCAGCAGGAGATGGAAAGG